GCTGGGAAAGAAACAGGGCTGAGGATCCTTGGGGAGGGGGTTTGTCAGTCTTGCTTGGCCTTCCTTCTGGAGAAGCTCTGACCTGAGGCCACACACACAATCCTGGGGTCAGTTCTGGGTGCCTCAAGACAAGATGTTGGGGGACTGATGCGTGTCCAGAGAAGGGCAATGGAGCTGGAGAAGGGCCTGGAGAAGAAGGGGCTGGAGAACCTCTGAGGAGCTGAGGGAGCTGGGGGTGTTGAGCCTGGAGCAAAGGAGGCTGAGGGGAGACCTTCTGGCTCTGCAGCTGCCTGAGAGGAGGTTGGAGCCACAGGGGGTCAGGCTCTGCTCCCCAGGAACAAGAGGAAATGGCCTCAAGTTGCCCAGGGAATGTTTAGTTTGGATCTTGGGAACAGTTTCCTCCCCAAAAGGGTTGTCAGGCCTTGGCCCAGTGCAGGGGGGGGGGGAGTCCCCATCCCTGGAGGGGATTCCAAGCCCTGGGGATGGTGCTGAGGGACATGGGGCAGTGGTGGCCTGGGCAGGGCTGGGGGGATGGTGGGACTGGAGGATCTTAAAGGTCTTTTCCAACCAAGGGAATTCTGTGTTTATCTGTGACCAAACAGCTGCTGGGAAGGAGGGGATCTAATATTAAAACAGATAAACAATGAAACGAGTCACACCTGGAACAGAACAGAGAGGGGGACAACAAAGTGCCCAAGGGGGCTGGGAAAGGCAGAATGGGACAAGGAGGACTTGGAGAGCTGCTGCTGAGCAGGCAGGATGTGTCCTTACCCTCCTCTGCTGACTTGCATGTTTCTCTGTCCACTCCTTGGCCTTGAGCAGGAACAGCTGCTTGTTGTACTTGTACTGGGAGGACTGAGTGTGACAAACAAGACAAGGTTGGGTTGAACACCAGGAGCAGAGTGAGGAGCTGGGGGGAAGGGCTGGGACAGGAGAGGAGGAGCTCACTATGTCTGCCATGAGAGGGTCATCTGGGTTGGGCTCTGCCATCAACAGCTGGATGGAGGTCAGCAGGGTAGAGATGTTCAGGGAAGGTCTCCAGGCACCCTGCAAGGAAAGGGGGTGAGAGAAGCAGCCAAGCAGAAAGAATCCGAAGACCATGGAATGGTTTGGGTTGGAAGGGACCTCTGAGATCACCCAGTCCCACCCCCCTGCATGGGCAGGGACACCTCCCACCAGCCCAGGCTGCTCCAAGCCCCATCCAACCTGCCCTTCAACACTGCCAGGGATGGGGCAGACACAGCTTCCCTGGGCAACCTGGGCCAGGCTCTCACCACCCTCACACCAAAGAATTCCCTTCTCATCTCCAACCTCAATCTCCCTCTCCCACTTTTCATCCATCCCCCTCATCCCACCCCTCCCTGCCCTTGTTCCAAGTCCCTCCCCAGCTTTCCTGGAGCCCCTTCAGGCACTGGAAGCTGCTCTAAGGTCTCCCTGGAGCCTTCTCTTCTCCAGGCTGAACACCCCAACTCTCCCAGCCTGGCTCCAGAGCAGAGCTGCTCCAGCCCTGGGATCATCTCCGTGGCTCCTCTGGACTCTCTTCAACAGCTCCATGTCCTTCCTGTGTTGGGGGCTATAGAACTGGACCCAGTTCTCCAAGTGAGGTCTCACCAGAGCAGAGCAGTGGGGACAATCCCCTCCCTGTCCTGCTGGTCCCTCTGCTGGTGACACAGCCCAGGACAAGGGTGGTTTCTGGGCTCCAGCACATGGTGCCACCTCATGTTGAGCTTCTCATCCACCAACACCCCCAAGTCCTTCTCAGAGCTGCTCTCCATCCATCCCCCACACAGCTGGGGTTGTCCTGACCCAGGTGCAGGTTCTTGCCCTTGTTGAACTTCATGCAGTTGCACAGCCCACTTCTCCAGTCTCACCAGGTCCCCCTGGATGTCCCTCTCCCCTCCAGCCTGTCACCTCACCAGTTTGGTGTCCTTGGCAAACTGGTTGAGTGGGCATCAATCCCTCTGTCCATGTCACTAACAGACATGTTGGTGATAACCACTGCTCCCAGTCCTGATGGGGATCACCACTCATCACTGGTCTCCATCTGGATGTGGAGCTGTTGATAAGGAACCTGCCCAGGGGCTGCCTTGGGGCTTCCAGGACTTCAATCCCCAGGGAAAAATACCAGCTCCCTCCTCAACACCCAGGCTGGGACCTCCCTGGAGAGGCCCAACCAAGCCCCAGAGGTTCTACCCTTCACATCTCTGCTGGGTGGTCTCAGGGGAGTCCCATTTCACACATCCACCTCAGGCCTTTTGCCTCCAATCCTGAGGACCCAGGAAATTTATATCCAACAAAGAAGGTCACACTCCAGCCTCTGAACAAAGGAGCTGCTGCTCAGGAACGTTCCTCCCTTGCTCCTTTGTAAATAAATGAGGAGCAAAGAGACATTCAATCAGGCTCTTGGAAGAACAGAGCAGTTCATGATCCCCTGGGCTCCCTGACCCAGCCCCATCTCACCTTAGGTGGTAATTTAAGAACATCCAGGCAAATCCTTCCAGCAGAGTCAATGTTGGGATGATAGATGGGGGTCAGGAAGCGGATCTTGGGGGGCTCAAAGGGGTACCTGGAGGGGAGGAGAGGTAAGAAAGCTCATTATTGGCATGTTTGTGCTCCAGGTGGCTCATCAACCAAGTGATGCTGCCATGTCCCCCCTCCTGGGAGGTGACATCCTTCCCCACAGGGTTTTGGGGGAGATTTTGGTGCTTCCCTGGGTGGCTTCCCACAAAGGGGTAAACCTGGTAGGAAACTGCTGATGAACAAGCTCCTGTCCAAAAAGCTTTGCAATATCTTTAGTTATTTAACATATCATGAATATAAAGGCTGGGAGAGTTGGGGTGTTCAGCCTGGAGAAGGCTCCAGGGAGACCTTAGAGCAGCTTCCAGTGCCTGAAGGGGCTCCAGGAAAGCTGGGGAGGGACTTGGGACAAGGGCAGGAAGGGATGGGATGAGGGGGATGGATGAAAAGTGGAAGAGGGAGATGGAGGTTGGAGATGAGGAGGGAATTCTTTGGTGTGAGGGTGGTGAGAGCCTGGCCCAGGTTGCCCAGGGAAGCTGTGGCTGCCCCATCCCTGGCAGTGTTGAAGGGCAGGTTGGATGGGGCTTGGAGCAGCCTGGGCTGCTGGGAGGTGTCCCTGCCCATGCAGGGGGGTGGGACTGGATCATCTTAGAGAGGTCCCTTCCCACACAAACCACCCCATAATTCTATGATGACACGTCAATATTAGACATTAAATATCATAAAGCAGAACTCTGCTCATCACACTTTCAGGTTATTAACCACACATCTTAAGATGCCCAATGTGAGATAAGAATGTCAGGCAGTGGAAACACTAACAAATGGCCTTGGCAACCAACCACATTGTTTGCTGGAGGCTAAAGACCAAGATGGCAGCAATTCCAGCAAATATCTGAACTCAATTAACTTCTATTAGAATGAAGAACCTTCAGAGATGTCCTGCCCACTGACCTTTCAGGAACAACGATTTCCAGGTCGAATATTCCTTTCTCATAGGGGGTGTCTGCACCTCCTAAAATTTCTTTACAAGATTGAAAAAGATAGAAAGATGAAACCAGCAGCATTTCATTCAAAAAACCCACATTCATTTGTCCAACCCACCCACAGCCCCAGAATTCCAACACTGCTCAGATCCAGGAATACCAAGAAAACATCTCTAATTTGATCTGACACCAGTTCTACCCCACACAAGCAAAAAAACAGCCAGAGGACAAGCTGAGCTGAAAGAAAAATCAAGAAATAAACCCCCCTCCACTTCCACAAGACTTATAAATTTAGCATCACCCAGTCAATTCAGACTCTGCAGCAAATTCCAGAGCAACCCCGAGTTAAGAGAGGAATCCCTGGAGGGCAGGACTTACGTGCCTGGAGCTCATCCAGCTGGTTTTCCTTCTGCCAGCAGGTGATGCCTGGAGGTGGCTCAGTGGCCAGGAGGGAGAGCTCCCTCTTCAGCCTCGATGCTCTTTGCATCCCGCTGGAACACGGAGAGGCTGGATTTTTATTGCTGGCAAAAAGAGCTTTTTCCAAACGAGCACTTAGTTGTCAGGCTTCCTGTTTGTTGTTTTTTTTTTTTTTTTGGCTAAGGAGAACGTAGCCCTGGGTTTTGAGTTGTTATCCTGCTGTGACACCAGGGTCCTGTTCCTGGAGCTGCTCCTGCAGACACCTGGGGGAGAACCAAACCCCCCACCCGTTACAATCAGTCCTCTCCCTCAGGCTAAGAAACTCTCCCAGTTCAGGACTGAGTTCTACACCCTAATGGGGCTGTAACACCCACCCTTGTCCCTTCAGGGGGAAATGCTGCCCCTTCATGGACATCCCCCCATTGTCCTGCTGGGGACACATTCCGTGAGCTGCCTCGGGCTGGGATAACCTCAGTAAGATCCACCCCAGTGCCCCCTTCATCCACCCCTCAGCAGACAGGGACCCTCTTCCCACCTAAAGGCCCCCCTTGCCTCCCTTCCTTTGCCACAGGGAGCCCCAGAGCTGCCCCAGCCCTGGGACAATCCCTGCTGCAGGAATAACACAGACACTCCCTTCCCACCAAAGCGGGCACCCCCCTTCCCTGCTCTGCCCGGGTACATCACCAGGGACAGGGAATCCCTCCCTGAGCTTGGGGCAACCCCTGGGGACAGCGGGGACCCACAAACTCCCCCCCTACC